TTACCTCTGGAAGAACCTTTATGCTCAACATGGGAGTAAATCACACATCAATTGACGTCAATTCACCTCCAAGTCTCAGGTGAGAAGGTGTCCTTTAGAAATGAATGAGAGGCACGCAAGACATGCCAAAGTAAGAAAGTAATTTCATTATCACTGTCATTATAATGTTGATTACGGACAAGGGAGCATTTCTTGAAGAAGATCCCAGGTTCCCACAGCTGACGTACATGCTGGAATGGGACATTTTCAGGACACTACATCTTTTCCAGTTCCTCCTAAAATATATACTGGCAGCAGAGCATGGTGTAACGTTGACTGGTTGTCGCGCAGGACCATGGGCACTGTGTTGGCATATCCCAGGCACCCAAGCGTAGAGTGAGTCCTACATGGGCACATTGCTTAAAAAGACTCAGGGAGGTAAGAAACAGGCTTATGGAGGCTCCGGCCATGTGTCAGGGGACCGGACAAGAGAGGCTGTCTCTGGTGTGGTAGGGGGGGTGTATTTACATGTGGGAAAACTCAGTGGGAGCAGAGACTAAAGCCTATTTATTGACTTCGCTTAATTTCAGTGGGTCATGGGGTAGGCTGTAAATCAGGTTATTTCATTAAAAATAAAACCAAAAAAATGTGGTGGGTTTTTTTTTAAATTCTAATTAGAAAAAGAATGTATTAATCTCCTTTCCTGCATTTTCCCTTTATCAAAGCTTCAACTCCTTCAATATACCTTTACTAGTAAACAAAAAAGGGCAAGACACAAGCATTGGGATTTGATCATCCAAACTGTGAAATGCTTAGCATATCCCTGGAAAGGTCTTTGTCCAGGCTAACTATTTCTCTCCCAAACAATTGCCAAGTGTGTCTGAGATCAGGGATCGCTTCCACCAGGCAGTCTGGATGTAGCCATCTGTTCCTGGAGGAGAAGAGAGGATGGACGTGGCCACATTATGATATTTGGCTTCAGGGCTAGAGAATAGGCCCTGAGACTGCTCAGTTTACTAGAACAGTTGTAGCAATTCAGATACTGAATTGGCATGAAAATGTACCAAGTTTTCTGAGAGTGAGTTGCCAATTTGGAAGATATAAGGGTTGGGGAAGACCTGGGCTCTGCCCCCAGCTTGCACTGACTGGCAGTATGATCTTGGGCTTTGAAATCATCAGGAAAACTCAGGAGCTTAGGGTTAGACATGTGCCCAAATGCTTTGTGGAAGCAAAGCACAATTGTTTGCCCAAGGGTATGTCCGTCCTCTCGTTATTTGTGCATCTGGGTTTGATTTGCAAATGATTTCCCTGCTATCTTCCCTCCCATATTCTGTCTGATCTAAGCGTGTTCATTGATCCCCATCCCTCCAAACTGCCCTCCCCCACTCCGGAAAAAGGAAGGAGACAGCCAAAACCATGTCAAAGACCACACTGAGAATTTACTGACATAGACCATCCAGCTCCAGCACCATAGCCTGGCTTCGCTCACTTTACAAACACAACATAGCCTCAGAGACAGCCAGAGCAAGCCCAACATTTGATTTGTGTCCACACTTCAGTAAAGTGCCTGAGTGGAGCAATGCACGTCATCCTTGACATCTCTCAAAGGCTTGTCTGATGCCTGCACCTCTAGATTTTGAGTTGGATTTGTTCTGGATAAAGACCACTGTGGATGTAGACATGGGGGGTCCCAAGGGGGAGTCAGTGTTGCTGTTACTCCTAGGCACGCTGGAAGTCTTTCTGTCTGAAGGATGGTAAGATGTGCAGATGCTGAGCAGTGGGTGGCCAGATAGAAACACCGAGGCTATTAAGATTTTAAAATAAATTCTTCCTGGAAAATAACTTGCGATGGCACTAGGGAGAGGCGGAGGGGAAGGGATCAGAGAAGCAAAGCAGAAGGAGCTTTGTACCCCAAAATCCTTCTAGCAGGAATTTCTTTTAATGAAAGCAGAACTACTATGTTTTTCAAGCCCAATCTAAAGTCTCAGGACAACTCTCCAACGGGTGACTCCTTTGCCAACTCTGAATATCTCTCTCTCTGTGCAGCATTTTAGTGCCTGTTGATAACGGGTAGCAATCTCATCTTCCCTGTAATAGCAATTGATCCTGAGGCTGCTGGACCAGCTATCCTGGTTGGGGGCATGACCTGTAAACAGCTCAGCCGGGCACTCAGAGCCACCACTATTGATTAATTAAATATCACTTAAATCCTCCTACCCTAGGAAAGCCACGTAACTCATGGGGAGGAGTAGGCAGTGTTCGTGTCTGGCATGGTGTATGATGAGGGACATCTGGATATCTGAATGCCTGAGTCAGTGGGGAGGTGGTTCCTGACTCATTAAACTCTCTGCTGTCCGCGGACCATCAAGGATGTGTCAACAAGGTATTTTTCTCAACTTGCATCGAGCTTTGGAAGAGCCACTTTTGTTTCAGGTCTGGATAAAGGCTTGTGTGCTCAAACCGGTCCAGCTTTTCCAGCTGTGCCAGTTGGCTTTCTCTGTGTACAGACCTTGCTCTGCTCGTGTCATGCAACCATCAGAGCCATAGCAAAATGGTGGAGTGACCGGAGAGCAGCCTCTCACCTGCAGACTCCCTCTGTGCTTCACTTCTTTATTAGCCATTTCCTTCAATAAAAAAGCTTAACTGTCCTTAATCCGGTAAAGCAGCCAAGCGTAACAACAACACGGTGCTGGTAAGCAAGATCAGGCTAATCCAGAAGACTGTAACAGAGAGGTGGCTCTGCAAGCAGATGTTTCCCTCTGATGACTCCTCCACAGCACGACATCTGGCATCGGGGTGAGGCAGAGAGCCAGGGACAGCAGCTTCCTACAGACATAGTCTCTGTCACAGTTTTCTCAAAAAAACTCAGTTTCTTATGAAATTAAAGAAAATTGGCTTCTCCTACCCACTTCTGAAGCAGACAAGCTATCGGTAGCATTGCTTCTCTTTCCATGTCTTTCTGTTCTCACTTGTCCTTCTGAGACTCCTCCAGGAAGAGTTGCTGACATTAAAAACTCCAAAAATAATGCAGATCAACCAGTGTAGGCAGACCATAAGCCTGGACTGGCATCTACTACGTAATGCTTATGTATTTGAGATTTTTTTTTCCCTGTGTGTAGTTACATAAATTGCCCTCCCTCTTCTCTAGCAAAAAATACGAAAGGCAGACAACAGTCAAAGCCAAAATGCTTAAAAAAATTCTCAAAGAATTTCTAAACCTTTCTTCCCCTTTAGTATTCCATCCTAGGTAAAAAAATGTGGCCTCAGGAAGGGTTCTGCTGTTTCCAGCTGCAAGCCACACACACCTGTCTGATTTGTGATACAAACTCGGGGAACACCTACCTAAAATACTCCTTGAACTACCAGCAATAGACATGGCAGAAAACACCCTCAGAGACATTAAAAGAGTGCAAAGAATTTCTTGCAGCATGAATATTCCTAGGAGATAATGAACTACATTAGTTTGAACGACTGATTGGAGATCTCACTTGAAGAGCGTTCACCTCCAATTACTAAGAATCCCTGTTAGGCTCTTGGTTGGTCACCTAGACTGTCACATGGAGCGGCGATGCTGCTACGGAAATAAAGTTTTCCCATTGGCGGAAGTCAATATCATTTTACACATCTTTAGAATGGAGGAAAAAAGTGTTAGACCAAGGTCATCTCACCTGTCTAGATGCTGGCTAAGAGGGAGGTCAGTCTTTGGTCAGTGAGGGGTGAGTGTAATGACGTTGCCAGTGGATCTGTTCCTCTCTGTAGACCAGAAGAGCAGCCTAGGATGACTAGGATGATGGTTAACACACTGATTTAGAGAACGACCTCTCTGAAGTGTGTGGTGGGCACGTGAACAAGCCATTTGCATTAGTTCAGGCCAGAGGAAAGGGTATCTCAGCTGTTGAGAAACAGGATGATGGAAGTTTGCTGCTGCAGGGGGCTTTCTGTCCTGTGTGGGAAGGGTTTGAAATTCTTCCCATCCAAGTAAGGTGCCACAGCTTGTGCTCCGAGGGTCATTGTTGGGTGGCTGGGAGTCGGATGCCACCCCTTCTCATTTTCCTCTGCAAAGATGTCCAGCTACTCAGCCTTCACCTGGATAAATTAGAAAGCCAGCAGTCGTGACTGGGAGCTGCTGAGCACATGGAGATGTGAACCAAACACTTTTTTGTCTCCATTTTGAATGAAACTTCTGCAGTTAATAAATTCAAACTCACCACAGAGGGACGCACAGACTGCATAAAATGGTTTTAGATAGGCGGTTTTAAATAGATTTGCCCACTCACACATGAAGACTTCCCACAGGTGGTACACTGTGCTCAAGTGGGTGCAGTTTATTGATAGAAATAGGGAGGCGGGGAAGAGCAGTGGACTGGCATCCTGCTTTGGAGAATGGGAGTTGAATAGCGTAGACATGGCCTGACCATGCCAGTTGGACAGTGCTTGTTTCTATCACTTTAATAGAAGGAAAAGACATCATGTTTCCTTCTATTAGGAAGGAAAGGAAGGAAGAAAGGAAGACGGAAAAGAGAGAGAGGTGAGGTTTGGATTATGAGGGGATGTGGTTTCTAAGGACGTTACAGCAAAGTTTCTGTGGATTTCTCTGTGTGGGTGTAATAGACATTCTACCTCTTTCCATACATATACGACTAGTAACCAAGTAACTAGTGATAAGACGAGAGGAAATGGCCTCAAGTTGCGCCAGGGGAGGTTTAGATTGAATACCAGGAAAAACTTCTTTACTGAAAGAGTGGTCAAGCATTGGACCAGGCTGCCCAGGGAAGGGGTTGAGTCCCCATCCCTGGAGGTATTTAAAAGACGAGTAGATGAGGCGCTTAGGGACATGGTTTAGTGGGCATGGTGGTGTTGGGTTGACGGTTGGACTCGATGATCTTAGAGGTGTCTTCCAACCTTAATGATTCTATGATTCTATGACTGTTATACCTGTTTATTTAGTATTTATTGCCTTTGTTATATAAAGAAACATGTCACCTCTAGTTAATTATACACTTTGCATGTTGAGAAAACCAGGCATCTTCTCTACAACACTAGGAAGAAAACTTGTTTGTTTTCTTGTCCGTACATTTCTGTGGTTTTCTGCAATTCCGTGAGGTCTTTATTACACTTCTGTGCAGCACTTCCATTCTCTGTGAGGGCAAAGTCCCACTTGTTCTTGCAGACATTTGATTTCTGGAGGTACACAATGACCCCCCTCGTCTTGACAAGTATGGAAGTTTGATGTCGTGTCTGCAATGAAAAGGATTTAAGGCAAAATGGAAAACATAACATTACATCACCATCTGAACCAACTCATACATGGAAAGTGTCATGAAGTTCTGGTTACTGTGTCTCAAAAAGCAAGGACACAAAGAAGAACTATGGGGGTCATCAGAGCACTTCTGTAAAAAGAGGAATTTGTGACCCACTAACTTGGAAAATAAACAACCGAAGGAGGGATATTGTAAAGGTATGAAGAAGTGTTGTGGTTTAACCTCAGCTGGCAACTGAGCACCACCCAGCCGCTCGCTCACTCTCCCCCCCGGTGGGGTGGGGGAGAGAATCAGAAGAATAAAAGTGAGAAAACTTGTGGATTGAGATAAGAACAGTTTAATAATTGAAATAAAATATAATAATAATAATAATGA